CATGTAGGAGTAAACTCGAGTAAACACCAATGTGCCATGGAATTAAACGCCTGCGAATTGCAAATGAAGCAGGAAAACACTGCTCCCGGTGGGAAAAAAGGGCAAACCACCTTCAAAATATATTGCTGATGAACGACGTGAAAATGTTGTGATGTTCAACAAAGATCTCCGCTTTTCTTTGGAGAAGTTAAGCACCATTCTATTCGGCAGTGGAACCTGAACCTGACAGCAGCTGACGTCGAATAATGAACCGTTGTCAGATCGTTCCTCGGCCATCCAGACAGACTTGTCTGAATGCATTCAGCCATGGCTGACAGCTAGTAGATTGGCTTGTCCACTCCCTCAACACCTCAAGCGCTGACCGCTCCTTATAGACCACAAGGCTGGCGGGAGGACAGACAGACTTACTGACCGCTGGGAAGAATGAACCTGCTTGGCCAACCCCGCAGCAGAGCTCTAGCGCTGAATCCTCCTGACGGACAACCGACAGGTGGAGGTGGACAGACTGACTGACCGCTCGTCGACATGCTTGACCTCATCCTCCAACTGCAGCGCTGACCGCCTCTAATGGACCGGCGGACGGACAGACTGACTGACTGACCGCTAATGGCCGCACACCCCCCGCCCAGTTATAAAGACCCTCCTCTCGCTCTGGTAATCCGGCCGCCCACGAGTCATTAGCCGGCGTGCGGCAGCGCGTGAAATAGAGATGAAATGAAAACAGAGATAAAATTTGGGCCAAATTTGCTGTGGGGCTCGGTAAACAAAGTGCAGAGTGCTGCTCGGTGGCACAGAGGGAAGGGAGCGGGAGCACTGCTGGCCGAGGCTGAAACTCATCCCGCAGTTGCTCCTCGGTTCTGTTGAAAATAAAAGATAACAGTACTAGGAGGGGTACTGCAGTCGGTCGTACGTCCTCGAATAAGTGGTCCCCGGGACGAAAAAAGAAAAAAGAAAATTAAAAAAATATCAAAAAATTGCGAGTATGTTGTTGTTAATTAACAGTTACGTTTACGTAACAGTCATCTTTGCGGAGAGATTTGCAGCACGGCCGTTTGGGGTTCATCCAGAAAGTAGCCGCTCAAAAGTCCCGTTTCTGTACGCTCTCATATCGCCTGATGGGTGGGCAGCGTCTTTGCCTGCAGTGCGTGCGTGAGCTGCGGGACGGCCTACCATGAGTATCACAGGCGCCGTGAGCTCCCCTAATTTAACAATATGAGACTGAGGGAAAAAAAACGGACGTCTACTTTCCCGGCGATTCCTTTTACCGTGGCACTTCTATAGGCGCGTGTGTAAACTTTCGCGGTAATTTCAAGTTCGCAGTTTTAGGTGTTTGCGTGAAGGCAATTCGTCAGAATGCGGAGAGTCTGCACGACACGCGCGTGCGGCTGACGTGCTCTCCATAATGCATGTCCCCCTCCCCCTCGCCCTCGCCCTCCTCCTCCTCCTCCTCCTCCTC